AGGAGGCTCCATGAGGTCCCATGGTCCATCATGCCCGAGGTAGGGAGGGGGAGGCGGAGGAGGAGGAGGACGTGGAGGAGGAGGAGGACAAGGAAAAGGAGGAGGAGGAGGATATCGAGGGGAAGGATGAGCAGGAGGACGAGCATGATGAGGAAAGGATGAGCAGGGTGACAGCATGACGCCCCAGCAAGTACACATGGTCCAATTGGTTTCTACTACCCCCGCGAGGGGCGTTACATGGTAGTAGTAGTAGTAGTAGTAGTAGTAGTAGTAGTAGTAGTAGTAGTAGTAGTAGTAGTAGTAGTAGTAGTAGTAGTAATAGTAGTAGTAGTAGTAGTAGTAGTAGTAGTAGTAGCAGTAGCAGTAGTAGTAGTAGTAGTAGTAGCAGAAATAGTGGTAGTACTAGTAGTAGTAGTAGTAGTAGTACTAGTAGTAGTAGTAGTATCTGTAGCAGTAGCAGTAGAAGTAGCAGTAGCAGTCGCAGTCGCAGTAGCAGTAGCAGTAGCAGTAGCAGTAGCGGTAGCCGCAGCCGTAGCCGTAGCAGTAGCAGTAACAGTAACAGTAGCAGTAGCAGTAGCAGTAGTAGTAGTAGTAGTAGTAGTAGTAGTAGTAGCAGTAGTAGTATCAGTATCAGTAGCAGTTGAAGTAGCAGTAGCAGTAGCAGTCGCAGTAGCAGTAGCAGTAGCAGTAGCAGTAGTAGTAGCAGTAGCAGTATCAGTAGTAGTAGTAGTAGTAGTAGTAGTAGTAGTAGTAGTAGTAAAAATAGTAGTGCTAGTAATAGCAATAGCAATCGCAATAGTAAGAGTAATAGTAATAGTCATAGTAATAGAAATAGTAATAGTACTAGCAATAGTACTAGTAATAGTAATAGTAATAGTAATAGTAGTAGTAATAATAATAGTAATAGTAATAGTAATAGTAATAGTAATAGTCATAGTCATAGTAATCGTAATCGTAATAGTAATAGTAGTAGTGGGCTGTCCTTGGGGGCCTCTTGGGCCGTCTTGGAGGCCTCTTGGCTCGTCTTGGGGCCATCTTGGGCGTTTTGGAGCGCTCGTTTGGGCCGTCTTGGGGCGGAAGGCTCGGATTGTCGGTTCAAGTTCCCCCTCTTGGGGCCGTCTTGGGGCCCTCTTGGGCCGTTTTGGGTGCCTCTTGGGCCGTCTTGGCGCCCTCTTGGGCCGTCTTGGGCGCCTCTTGGGGGCCTCTTGGGCCGTCTTGGAGCGGTCTTGGGGTGCTCTTGGACCGTCTTCAACGCCGTAAAAGGCAGACAAATCGTATATGATGAAAATGTGCGCTTTCCCATAGGAATTCAATGATTTTCGGCTCTTCGGCCCTTCTGAGGACTGTTCTTGGAGGCCTCTTGGGCCGTCTTGGAGGCCTCTTGGCTCGTCTTGGGGCCATCTTGGGCATTTTGGAGCGCTCGTTTGGGCCGTCTTGGGGCGGAAGGCTCGGATTGTCGGTTCAAGCTCCCCCTCTTGGGGCCGTCTTGGGGCCGTCTTGGGGGCCTTTGGGGCCGTCTTGGCGCCCTATTGGGCCGTCTTGGGCGCCTCTTGGGGGCCTCTTGGGCCGTCTTGGGGCGGTCTTGGGGTGCTCTTGGACCGTCTTCAACGCCGTAAAGGCCGACAGGTCGTATATGATGAACATATTCGGTTTTCATAGGAATTCTAGACGCTTCGCGTATCCCCACCAGCCCGTCCAGAAACGACGCCCAGGCGAGTAGAGGGTCGTCCTGAGGGGCTTTTCGGCGTCTTGGGTGCCTCGGGGGGGCCTCTGTGGGCCGTTCGGGATCCTCTTTGGGGCCTCCTGGGGGCCTCTTGGGGCCTCTTGGGGCCATCTTGGGGCCTTTGGGGGCCTCCTGGGCGCTTCTTGGGGCCATCTCTGCCCCCTTCAGAAGGCCAAAATGGGGTCCAAACCATAGTAAAAAGGCCTCTGGGAGCACCTTGGGTGCCTCTGGGGGGTCTCTTGGGGCCTCTTGGGGCTCTCTTGGGGGCCTCCTGGGGGCCTCTTGGGTGGCCTCTTGGGGCCATCTTGGGGCCATCCTGCGGCCTCTTGGGGCATCCTGGGGGCCTCTTGCGGCCATCGTGGAGGAAATCGATCAAAGAAGAGGGGAGCTCTAATTAGCGCTGCCCCCTCAGAAGGCCAAAATGGGGCCAAAACCATAGTAAAATCAATGATTTTGGCTTCCTCGCCGAGGCCGTTTTGGACGCTCTGACCGCTCTCCGCCCCTCCTGTCCAGGTCAGTGGGGAAGGGGTAGGGGGAAGGGTAAACCCCTCCCCGAAGGGGAAGAGGGATGGGTGGAAGAGGAAACGCCCTAAACCACCGACGCCCAGAGGGCTGGTGGGATTTGATGATTTTCGGCTCTTCGGCCCTTCTGAGGACTGTTCTTGGAGGCCTAATGGGCCGTCTTGGAGGCCTCTTGGCTCGTCTTGGGGCCATCTTGGGCGTCTTGGAGCGCTCGTTTGGCGTCTCGGGGCCTTCGTGGGCCGTCTTGGAGACGTCTTGGGGCCTTCTTGGCCCGTCTTGAGCCCCTTTTGGGTCCAAAAGAGCCCGTGGTTCGCTCGGGCCAGGCCCGGGGGGGGGGGGTCGAATCGTCGGTTTGGGGTCGCATGGGGGGTTAGGGGGGGAACTGTCTCACACGCCTAGAGACCCACAAGGGGTCGGCGGATTTCTATCGGTCTGGTTGTTTCTCGGTTCTGCTTTCGCCTTGGGAGGAAAAGGATGTGAGGAAGGAGGGGGGAGGATAGGCGGGAGGATGAGGGGAGACAGGAAGGAGGACATGGCGATCGTGCGAATGCGAGAGAAGAGGCCGTCAGACGCCGAGCTCCCCTCCCCCCTCCCTTCCCTCCTGCGGAGGCATCGGCGAGAGAGGTGCGCCTCGTTCTCCTCGCTGCCGTCGAGAGCTCCTCGTCGAAGCCCCCGATGGTCTCGTCCCAGCTACAGGGCTCGAACTTCTAGGCAGCATATGGCCGGACCGAGGCTCCTCCCGGTCGTCAGGGGTTCAACGGTTCGAGGTTCGAGGTTCGGGTTCGAGGTTCGAAGTTTTCGGACGTTTTCGTCCGTTCTCGGCGATTTTTCAGCCTCGGGAAGCTTGCCAGCAACTGCTCCTCGCTGAGGGCGCTCTGGGGTGCCAAAATCGCCCCGAACGGCCACGGGAGAGCCGGGTGTTGACAGAAAACCACCAGTCGTCCGTCGGACCGAGGCATCAGATCGAGGTCGGTTCGGGGAGGGTGCCCTAATGTTCTCCGTGCTTGTTGGATGTTCTTGTGCATCCTGGGGGAGGGTGCCCTCGAATCATCGTATCGTATGGTTTGGGGTGTCTTGGCCAGCGGAGGGTCTCATGTTCTTGGAGGCTGTTCTTCTGTCCTGGGTACGACCGCAGTCCGCCAAGCTCTCCACGGCCTGCTCGCGAGGCCTGCTGCCTGCCCCCCCGCCCCCCCTGCGCCCGCCTCGTCTCTTCCATCTCTCCCTCGGCCACGCCCGAGGAGGGATACGAGGGCGGGGGCGAGGCGGCGGAGGAGGTTGAACAGGCCTAGAATCTACATGTGTATGTATATATATATATGTATAACAAAAAATCCGTTCCAGAGCGCTTTCTGGAACTCTCTCAGAGCGTTCCGGGACGCTTTGCCGCCGCCTCTTCGTCCCTTCCCCCGCTTCAGACGAATCCGAAACGTGCGCGGCGGTGGCCCAGCCGTTGGCCACCGTCGTCTGCGGATGCCGCCAGCGCCGATACATTGGCGCCAGCGCAGCCGTGGACCTCCTACTTCCCCTCCCCCGTTGGTCGTGGGCAAGTAGGACGGCTACCCGTGCCTCGTTTTCCCCTTCGGGGCCTCCTGGGAGACCCTCGTCGGCACCGCTGGATTCGCCTCGAGATCCTGGTCGGAACGCACCCCGGGAGAGGTCCGGGAAGTAGCGGTATTGGTACATTGGGTTTCCCCAGTTCGGACTGAGCGAGGACGAGGATACATCCGTTCCAGAGCGTTCCGGAGCGCCTTCAAATCGTTCCGGAACGCTCTGAGAAGGCCGCGGCGCCCGAGACACCCTCCAGAGCCGCGGGATCTTAGAGGTTCTCGATGCATCCTCACCCGATTGTTTGTCCTCCTCATGGTTTTGTCTTACCAGTAGGGGTCCCTGGGGAAGAATCCCCTGCCTTACGTTGCACCATCGGAAGACATCACCTGTCCCCCAAATTGGTGTCTTTTCTTGTGCCCGACGCGGGCTCGATGCGGACTCGACGCGGAGTTGGCGCGGATTCGACGCGGATTCGGCACGCATTCCACACGGGATCCGACGAGGCCGACATGGATTCGACACGGATTCGACGCGGATGGGGCAGCGACGGGACTGACAAAGGTCCCCCGAAGATGTCCCCCGAAGATGCACACGGTCCCCCCAGCATATTCACACCGCGTGGGCGCCGCCCCTCTCCAGGGGCGACGCGCGCACCCCCGGGGGCGAGGCCCGCACCCGCGCGTCGTGGCGGGCGCTGTCTGGCCACGCTGCTCGGGAAGCGACGCGCCGCAAGACGGGGAACGATACGCTACGGAAACTGGACGTTCGGGCCGGACGCGCGCCGCCGAGGAGGACAGACAGTACTCAAAACGACGCGAGGATGGGGACAACATCGGATCGGGATAACTCGAGATCTCTGAGAATCGGCGGGTTTGGAGGATGTATTGGGCGCCGCGGCCGCTCCAGAGCGTTCCGGAACGCTCTGAGAGCGCTCCGGAACGCTCTGGAGCGATTTATCCCGATCCTAGCCCTGTTTTAGTATTGGTACAGTCAGGGGTTATTCAGGGCCTCGTTCCTAATTGAGGGTTCCTTATTTAGGCCTCGTTCCTTCTTTAGGGCCTCGTAACTTATGGATGACAGGGGCCTCGTTCGATATTTGGGGTTCCTCAGGTCAAAGCCCCGACTGAATGTCTGTACGTCACTGTGCGTCCCATAACCCTCTGTCGCTTCTCGCGCGGGGGGCTGCCGCCCTGTCGCCCCCGTGGAGCGGGGCCGGCCGGGTCGCGGGCCTGCGCGCCGCGGCGGGCCAGTGGGAGGACCCCACGGCGCGCGCGTCCCGCATTGGCGGCGGCTTGAGGCGGCATGCGGCGGGCGGTGGCGGGCGGTGGCGGGGTGGGTCACCGGGCGGGTTCCATTTGTCTTCCTCCTCCTCGCTCCTCGCTCCTCCTGCTGCTCCACCTCCCCCTCGCTCATCCACCTCCCTCCTCCTCCTCCTCCTCCTCCTGCTCCTGCTCCTGCTCCTGCTCCTGCTCCTGCTCCTGCTCCTCATCCTGCTCCTCTTCCTCCTCCTCCTCATCATCATAATCATCATCAGCATCCTCATCATCATCAGCATCATCATCATCAGCATCATTACCACCAGCATCATCATCATCATCATCATCATCATCAGCAGCAGCAGCAGCATCAGCATCCTCCGCGTTTATTCTTCCCCTCCTCCTCGCTCCCCGCTGCTTCTCCTCGCTCCTTCTACTTCTCATCCTCCTCCTCTCCTCCTCCTCCTCCTCCTCCTCGCTGCTGCTCCTCCTCCTCCTCCTCCTTATCCTCCTCCTCCTCATCCTTATCCTCCTCCTCTTTCTTATCCTCCTTCTTATCCTCCTCCTCCTCCTCCTCCTCCCTTCCTCCTCCCGCGGGCTCCGCGACTGGCCGCCCCCCTCACTTGCGGAGTGCCTAGTCGCAAGCGTCCGAACAGAAACAGATGATTGGTTCGAGGCAATGGTGATCGTTGTCTTATTCATTGTTTTGCCGATCGGCGCGGGCCCTCGCACCGCCCCTCTTCCCCCCCGTCCCCATAGAGTCGATCTTGGATGTGTTTGGCGCCTGTTTCAAGCAGGTGGAGTCTCCTCCACAGGACGCACGGTTGCAAACTGTCGCATTGAGCAGGGGTCCCAGAGCCGGCCCCCCCCCTTTCCTCCCCTTTTCGCTCAATGTCTTAACGCCGAAGAAGAACACGTTCTCATGCAACAGATCGTGAATCCCCCGCGGCGGATCCGTCGAAGAACAAATAACGGCGTAATCAAACATTTTCGTAGGTCCGCGCCAAAAGTTTGTGTTTCTGTCGTTTTTGTTGTTGTGTCTTCTAGGATCTAGGATCGTGAATTCCTTTCGGCGGATCCAGGCCATTGGCGAGTGGCTATTCTGCGAGTAGTGGAGCGCGCTTGTCTGGTGGGGCCACACCGCTGACAGAAGGAACAGTTTGGGCACGGTCGGGCCGAGGTGGAAGTTCGGAGTGGGCTCGGCGAGGGTACCCTGGTTTTCTTCGTGTCTTGTGGATGTTCTTGTGCATCCTTGGGAAGGATACCCTTGGATATTCTGTGTGTTTGGGCCGGCGGAGGGCCTCATGCTCTTGAATCATGTTTTCTTCCGTCCTGGGTCCGACCGCGCGCAGCAGGGGTCCGCTGTTCCGTCATTGGGTCGTTCCATGGCTGTTTCTCAGCGCTCGGGCACCCATAGGGGGCCACATGCGAACCCTACCCCTACCCCCCCACGATTTCTGAGGGGGAGGGTGGGGTTCACTTCGTTCAAGAGCTCCCGAGCGAAGTGAACCCCACCCTTCCCCTCAGAAATCGTGGGGGGTAGGGGTAGGATTCGCATGTGGCCCCCCCAACCCAGGCGAGTCCGGGCCAACAAGGAGGCCTCGTTCCTCACTGTTTTTTTGTTCTTGGTTTCAGCAGCCCGATTGCAGGCCCAGATTTCCGACCATCTCATTCGTGGAATTCCATCGTGTTGCCTCGGTTCCGGTCTCTGGGGCTCCCTGTCGAGCCCTGGGGCCATGGAAAAAGGGGTCAGGCGCGAAAGAGCTGCTCCCGGGGAATCCTCCTCCCTCGATCCGAGGCGAAAAAGTTGCTTCTGGGAAAGCGGTTTCTGGACCTCCGAGACCGCGGACGGAGAAAACCACATTGGCGGGGAAGGGGGGATGGGGGGGAGAAATGGGAGCAGGAAGATGATTAGGAGGGCGGGGGGTAATGGAAGAGGAGGAAGGGCAGGATGAGGAGGAGGAGGAGGCGGGCAATGGACAGGAGCGAGGAGGGGGAGGAGGAGGAGGAGGAGGAGGAGGAGGAGGAGGAGGAGGAGGAGGAGGAAGAGGAGCATGGAGAGAAAGAGGGGACGAAGAGGAGGAGGAGTCGGTGGCGGAGGCGGAGGAGGGAAGGCTTGGGAGAGGTGGCGGATGATGGGGAGAGGGGGAGAGGACGTAAAAGGGATTGAGAAGTGAAGAGGGGGATTGGCAGGAGTAGGGCAGAACGGGGCGGAGGAAGAGATGTGCGGACGATGGAGAGGGAGAAAAGGGGGAGGGGAAAGGGGGAGGATGTGGCAGAGGCGGTGGGGTCGAAGAGGGAAACCCATGGAGAGGAACGGGAAGGGAAAAGGGTGGAGCAAAGGGTTGGCAAATGCAGTGGTGTCTGTTGCGCGGATGGCGGAGAGTAGGGGAAACTATTGACTATGTTGCCGTACAGCAGTCCGAGCTGCTCGTGCATCCTAGCTAACGCGTCCGCGCAGTGCCAGGGCCTATCAACAGAACGGTCATACTTCGATGCCGGAAGCGTAGGAACATGTATGTCGGCGATGTCGATCCTTTTTGATGCCGCTGGCGCGATCTCGTGAGTACTGCCAGCTCGTAGGCAGACCATGCCTCTTCGTCGGGAGGCGATGGCGGAGGAAATGGTAGAACAAATGATGATGATGAGGAGGAGGAGGAGGACCATAGGGAACCCAACAGGCACCAGCGATGTTGAAATTCGAAATTCACAGCATGCCCTTCCGAGGTTTATTTGCATACGCCTTTACAAGCCATCCAGTTCACAGCCAGAGGCGCCCCCTTGAAAGATCAGCACTGCTTGGGTCTTTCATTCCGTCGAGACCCCGGATCGTAAAACAGCGAGTCTGCATCCTTCTCACGGATAGGTAGGAATGTGACATGTTGATCGCATGGTTCAACGAGTTCTCCACCGATATTCAGGTTTGGGGAATTGTTTAAGAAGGAAATAGGCGGATGAAAGGTTGATAGGGAGGAGAGAGGACGGAGGAGGAGGAGGAGGAGCAGGAGGAGGAGGAGGAGGAGGAGGAGGAGGAGGGAGGAGGCGGGCCAGGAGAGGAGGGGAGGGATGGAGTGATGGGTGTAGCGACGTGGGGGGGAACGAGGACCAGGGCGAACCCACTATGCACCAACGATGCTGGAATACTCGGCGGCGAGCGAGGGGGGAAATGAGAAGGAGAAGGCCTTCTCAGAAGGCGGCGGGGCTTGTCAGAAGCCTTCGCGCCATCTGGGAAGTGTTCTGTGCCTTCAGGAAGGCGTAGAAAACTTCTCAGAAGCCTGGGGGACTTCCGAGCCTTTCGGGAAGGACCGCCCCTTCTCACGTCCCCCCCCAGGCTCGCCGCCGAAATACACCCCCACATCCGAAGTCCATTCCTCGTGAGACCCTTTAGCATCAGTTTTCGCTGCGTGGATCACCTTGACATGCGAGCGCCATGCGGAGCTGTCTTTTAGGCGAGGGCCCTGCGTTTCACAGGCATCCTCTGGAGGAGCGCCACGAGGCCAGATCATCACACTGGAAGGACATGACCAGACATAGCCTCGTTTTGAAACAGAGTCTTCCTCAATTCGTGCAGTTGCTGCGCAACTTCGCACGATGGGACGTAAGGTCGGCTTGCTTCTTCATAGTCGTGAGGGCCACCATTTAAAAAGGAGTCGCCCTCCCTCAGTGCAAATGTTGCAGAAGTTTACTTCATTTGTTTGTGTGGGACAATGTGGCACCATTTAAACTTTGGGTATGTTCTAGTGACGGGAACCATTCATTAAGAATTGCCTACCCTCCATGCACCTTTGGCGGAGTTGGATGCCAATCTGCGCGGTGCCAAGGCAGGAGCCACATGTTGAAAAACAATCGTTCCCGATCTTTTTTGCTGGTGGAGGCTTTACCGTGAACGTGCGCGGTGTCAGGGCGAGAGCCACATTTGGAAGACCACCGGTTGTTCCATCTGGGTACCTGTTGGCAGTTTGTAACACGAACTTGCGCGGTGCCAAGCCGAGAACAACAATTGGAAGACCGTCCGCTCCCCATCCCTGTGGCATCACTTAACCCTTGCGACTGAAATTTTTGAGGCGGACGTGCGCGGCGCGGAGGCGAGAGCCATATTCTGAGGGTCGCCTACCCTCCACCGCTGCAAGTGCTGCGAGTGTGAAGCTGGGAGGTCACAAACGGTGAGGAAGTCCCCGCCGAAACGTCCTGGCCGCCGTGCCGCGAGGCCTGGCGACTGGACGTGGAGAAGTTGCTCGGAAGGAAGGGGATGGATGAGGACGACGAGGAGGCAGAGGAGGGAGGGAGGGAGGGAGGGAGGGAGGGAGGGAGGGAGGGAGGTGGATGATGACGCAGGGGGGCGGAGGGGGAAGACGAGTGCTTCTGTTTGTGTCGAGGAGACTCGGCTGCGAGCGGAGGGGATGAAAAGGGGCGGGCCTTCTCGTGAGTCCCAGCAGCTCCCCGACTTCCTGAGAGGTTTCGCAAGTCTCCTCCTCCTCCTCGTCCTCCTGCCTCGTCATCGTCATCGTCCCCTCCTCCTCCTCCTGTTCCTCGGCCTTCCCCGCGGACACAGGAAGCTTGTCAGAAGGCGCGAGGATTTCTGAGAAGCCCCGCCGCCTTCTGAGAAGGCCTTCTCCCTCTCACTCTCCCCCCTGTGAAGATGCGACTTCTGAGATAGGCGCTCCTTTTTTCCGTATGTCGCCTGAGGCTCAAGGGCCCTGGGAGCCGCAATGTTTACGGACAAGAAACAAGTTAGACGAGGGGCTAACGCTGGGCCATCCAGCACTCTCGCTGTCACAATGGTTCTAACATTATGTTGCCCCTGGTCGATCAAGAAGCATAAACACGGAGGGCACGGCAACGTGCTACAACTAAATTTCCCATGTCCCGCAGCGGGCAACATCCGCCATTTCAAAAACAATTGACAGCCGTGCAAACAGCTTGCAAAGGAAAATGCACAGGCAGCCGATAGGCTTCGTAATATGGACAATGGACAATGCATAGTGGTCTCACGTTATCAATATCTGTCCACTGTAAGAATACATCGAACCAGATACTCCCA